GGGGGGGTCTAGTGGTTAGAGGCAGGGGGGCTGGGAGCCAGGACTCCTGGTTTCTATCCCAGCTCTGGGAGGGGAGTGGGGGCTGGTGGGTTAGAGCACGGGGGGGCTGGGAGCCAGGACTCCTGGGTTCCATCCTGGCTCTGGAAGGGGAGGGGGGTCTAGTGGTTAGAGCTTGGGGGCGGGGGGCTGGGAGCCAGGACTCCTGATTTCTATCCCAGCTCTGGGAGGGAGGGGGGGGGGCACAAACGCTGAGAGCCAGGACTCTTGGGTTCTCTCTACAAGGGAGTGCTGTCTAATGGTTAGAGCAGGCCAGGCTGGGGCCCTGAGTCCCCTTACCTTGCTGCAGGGGCAGCACCACAGCCTGTTTCCGGGCCCGGGGTGGGGCCTTGCTGTGGTGCAGGGGCTTGGGCTGACAGGCCTTGTCCAGCAGCGCCGCGGCTTCTAGCTCCTTCTGCCTCTCCTTCAGCTTCTGCAGGGGAGGCCACATCAGTGGGGAGGCACAAGGGGTTTGGGGCTGGGGGTTCCCCAGGAGCAGGGTGGGGCTCTAGAGTGCAGGGGAGCCAGGCAGGGCTCTGGGGGGCTCACTCACCTGCAGCTCGCTGCGCGTCTCCTCCAGCTGGCGCAGCAGGGCCACCCGCTCCCGCCGGGGGGTGCTGAGCAGCGGCAGCCTCCGCCCAGCCCCGCCCTGCTGCTTCTCCAGCTGCTCCAGCCCCAGCAGCCGCTGCACCAGCCTTGGGTCCAGCTGCTCCCGGGGGGGAGGGGGGGGGGGGGGGGGGGGGGGAGAAAAGAGGAGACCATTAGCCCAGCAACTCCCCACCACGCTCCCCTGCAGGGCTCCCAGCCCCTCACCTGAGCGGCTCGGCCTCGGGGGGCTCCTCCTTGGGGGGTCTCTTGGCCCCAGGGCTGGCACCCTCACTGCCGGCTCCAGGGTCCTCGGGAGGTCTCTTGGCCCCGGGGCTGGCACCCTCACTGCCGGCTCCAGGGTCCTCGGGAGGTCTCTT